CTTGTTTTGCTGAAATCAGAGGCAAAGCCCTGTTTTAAGCCAGCAGAATTAGACTCGTTGAGCTGGCCTACAATCTCATGTTGTAAATTTGAAATACTTTGCATTGCATTTACTGAAAGGAAAGAGAAATAATGATCTCAGCATGCCATCTGCCAACTCGCTGGCTGAATGGAACAGACTATGTCAGTCAAAGGGTGAGATATGTCTTTAAACGACTTTTTTGTTTTGTTCTGTTTTTTGTTCTGGCTTTTTAGGTTGCTTAGTAACAATATCCTGTGTGCAAATTTGTAGCATCTGTGAAGAATGTGAGGTGTTAACATGTTTGCAAAAATTAAGAGTCCAATTAATGTTTCCTCTGCAGAGCTTTAAATTTTTTTTAAATTAAATGTCTCCTTCCTTTTTTTCCCCTCTTCTACAAATTACCTGCTTTTAGAAAAAGTAAAGATAGATTTGTCTTAGAACAGTGATAAATCATAAATTTGTGTTTTAGTACTTCTCAAATAAGTAGTTACTGTTTTCAGATGGAGAATATAGCAGAATTAAGTAACTTGCAAAACATAAGTAGCTTTCAAAGGTCATGTAGTTCTGTCTCTGTGGTTAGTATCTGCGCACAGGGTAATGTCTGTGAATGATTATGTATCTTCCAATTAAACCACTGAATAAAGCACTCAGTGTCAGAAATCTTACTTGATGACATGCAGAGCTGTGTAAGAGAAATTTAAAACAGACAATCAGGTACACTTTAACAGATTTCGTACTCCATCCTCTTGGCTCCCTGTAGCAGAAAGTCTACTGGAATCTATCTTACAGCTTCAAAACCAGAAAAAGCTAATATAGGATGGGTTGGACCAAGCCAGCTTCTATAAGGAGGTGTACCTACCCCTACCCCTGTACGGTCACTGAATAGTCAGTAGAGAGGAATAGGCTCTCCCAGACAGTAAGTCATCTGCTGTCTTTCAGATACGTGTCCTAGGGCGAGATGAATCACCTCTTTCTGCGATGACTGAGCCAAACATGGCTAGACAACCTCTCACTTTTAAGGCAGTAAAGATTAATCCTATTTCCCAAGATTTTTTTTTTCCCCTGATGATACAGTATATTTTGCCTTTGATCTGTTTTGACAAAGAAAATAGTTTAGAGGGAGGCATCTGCAGCAGTCCTTACTCAGATAAGGTTCACATTGACTCCAGTGGGTGAACAGGGTGAGAAAACACTGCAACACTTCTCTTCCAGTAAGTGAAGTATTTTAGTGTTCCTTTTCTTCATTAAAGACATTTTGTTCTAACTTTCTATTCTCTTTAATCACTAGCTAGAGATGATGCCAGCAGACAGTTAGATATTATCCCCAGGGCCCATGGATTGTCACAATAAATTCTGTGAAAAGACATAGTTTGATTAATGTCTACTGCAGGAGCTGAAGCCATAGCTCCATAACAGAAAAATACTAACAATCAACTATTGCACTCTGTTCCTTTTCTTTGGCAATGTAATAATTTCATCATTTTATCTATAATGCCAGCAGTTGAGTTAGTGCCCAGTAGAGCTGCAGCAGGAGAGGGACCTGGCCAGTCTGTTGCTGCCCCACAGCTGCTTTCCTGCCTTGGTCCCTTCAAAAGCAGCAGGAGCAACAAGGCTGAGCACAAGCCTCAGAAAGCTGCCGGGAGGCTTTCAGACTCCTGCCGGAATCTGAAGGAGTGGATCGACTCTATCCCTCCTTCCATGACTATTTATGAAATCTATTCCTTATTTCTCTCAGCATCCTATATAGCTTATAATTTAACTTGGCAGCTGTTCAGACTCTTGGTGAAGTTGGTTTAGCTGTTTACTAGCACACCCTCCCACCACAGGCAAGAATCTTGACAGCTCAAAAGAGCTTTATAGATAAAGTAGACAAGTTGCTGAGCTCCGAGTCCTGCCATGACCGTGGTAAAAATTGTCCCTAGCTTTGAGTGGCGGGATGGATTTTCGTGGTTCTCAGTGCTTGTCTGCTGTAAAGACTGTGCAAGGGATTTTACTGGCCATCTGCTTCCCTGAGTTCACCAGTGGCACCAGGCTGCTGTCGTGGGCTCTGAACATCCAGAAGCCCACATGTCCAGTGAGATCATTAAGGTGTATAACACGCACACAAGCCTGATACCTTCCAAAAGCTGTTGGCCTTGCTACTGATATGCTCAGCACAGCATGTATGAGAATAGCCCCAGTGCTGTGGGGAATCATCACTTGCCCTCCATGCTGTGAACAGCCTGTGTGTTCCATGCATTCCTGGAAATCCCAGGCTGGCTTGCTAACCCTGTACAAGCGCAGACCACAAGCATGTCCCATGGCTCAGAGAATATTTGTCTCAATACAAAATAAGAGACAACATACAGGCTGTTAGAGGGCTACAGGGAAACATAAAAAAAATATAAAAGTCAGTCCATCAGCTGTTAGTCTTAGCACACTGGCAGCTCTAATTTTGCTACGATTCTGCTGACCTTGTGTGGGCTTTTAGGAGGGTAATGAAGTAGCTCACAACTGCCAAGGGCCAAGGAAGGGAAAGCTCAAAGTACTTCATTTGAGAATGGAAGAACTGGGTGACAGGGATTGTTGTGCTGGGTTGATCAGAGGTAGAAGTTAACATCTTTGTGCCAGATGAGAAATGTTAAGCTGCCTCAGCTATATACTCAAAAGCATTTTGAAAAAGAATGAAGAATACTGGTGGCCGATGTGATTACACGCACCAGCTGTTTTAAATCCAGTATGTTGTCGTCTGGACAAATACGCCGTTTCATTTTGGACCTCACCTATCCCTAATGAAGTCAGTGCTGAAACCTTTCTTCCTTCGGGTTTTGCTCTGTCTATATGTTTATTCATTTGAATTATCCCTGTCTGTGGTGTGAGGATCCACTCGGCGTGGATCGGTGGCAGAATGAGGCCTTCAGTGATTCATGCTAGGCATAGACATTAAGACTGCTTCCTCTCCAGAATTTACAAGGGATGGATGTTTCCCAGTCTTCCCAACTCTCTTTAAAGAAAATTAATGTGAATTCTTGGAAACACAATCACCTTTCTTCAGCGGAGCGGTACTTAACAATCCTATTGCTATCACACTCAACACATTCTGCATAAAAGCATGATTTCATATTCTTTTTCATGGCGATTTCTTACGCCGCTTGCCTCATTGTATCAGTAAACTGGTTGACAAGAGCGCAGCTGTCTTTCGCAAATTAACAAGTTCACCTCTGTGTGAAAAGCCAGCTCTGTTGAGGCGTAGCACAGACACGGTGAATAGTGGTGAGCTGGGCTTCTGCGAACGAGTCGACGTTGCTTCTTACAGCACTGCAGCCAGATTTTCTCACTTTGACATGATAGCCCCGCGTCATTCTCCTTTCCTAGCTCTGAGTTACCTTTTTGACAGCCTCTACAATGAGGCACTAGATTTGCTTCTGACTGATTGAGGCCAAGTAAATGGCAAATCACGCTGTCACATCTGGGATTTTGTGAGTTTGCAGCTCTGTAAAAGTACTTCACATCTTTCAGCAGACTGGCCAGACCGTATGTTTGTTGGAAAGAAGACCAAGGTTTGATAAAATCAGATTTTCTATTTGTTGATTTTATCTAATAAAATATAACATATGTTAACATATAAAATATGTTTATAAACATATAAAATATATTTAATGTAACGTATAAAATATATTTAATATAATCTATAAAATACATTTAACATATATGCTAACATATAAAATATGCTTTAAAGCAGAAAATACCTTATCTGAGTATAATGGAAGCACTTAAAGGAACGAATTACAGTTCCGGTAGAGTTTGATAAGGTACATTACATTTCAGACTTTCAGGTAAGGCGTATCAGCTTAATTAGAAAAATAAAGCACGAAGTATGACTTGTTCTCTTCTCCCAGTGTGGATCTTCAGTGCTTTAAAAAGTCCAGAAATTATCTTTTGCTTTAAAAATATTGTTTTGTGTAAGCAAAGGATTTAACCGTATATTTGGTTCTGACTTATCCTTGTTGCTGTTATTCTTCATGAAGCAGCCTCACTTCCAGTCCTCAGCTTGTAATTTCTTTCCTACATCAAATTTTCCACTGCCAAAGCGTGTCATACCTCATCCAGTCAGTTGTCCTGAGTTGTTTTGGGTTGGTATTTCATGGCCACAATTGTACATCTTGCTGCCCATGAGATGATTTAATACAGCCCTGGCAGTTGTGCATCCCTTATAATAGCATGTAGAGCTAGTACCTTCCCTATTCTAGGGAAAGTTATCACACCTGTATTTTTTAGTCAGAGGCTGGACTGAAAACTTCTGTTGGGGCAAATGTAGTAGTAATAGAGATCCTGGGCAGGAGATGGGAAAGGCATGGCAGTAATATGGACGCAAGGGCTCTGTGAGTGAAAGCCATTTTGTGGACGTAGTTTTGGAGGCAACTGTCTGATGTGCATGTATTGAACAGACCATCTCCCATCTTTCAGGGGAAATATAAAACACTACTTGGCTAGTTTTCACTTCCTTATCTTGGATATTTTCATACAAGGCAATTACCAATATCCAGGAATAGGAGGGTCGTTGAGGCTATTTAAAGTATTCTTGCAGCATTCCTGTGGCATGACACAGTAACAGCAATTTTTCCTATGACATCCTGCAGGCAGTGTCTGTGTGACAAGAAAACCACTTAACAATGAAAAAATTCACACTGTTTGATTTTGTAAATGATAATTCACTGCAAATTGGAGAGACTTCATGGATACAGGACCTTCCCAGTGATAATAATGAACTAGAAAGACTTCTGAAACCAAATGAGCACGTGCTAGTAAACTGGCCTGTGGGAGAAAGGAAGACAGAAAAGCACCTGGTGAAAGTTGTGTACATGAGTGGTAAGTGCAGTTCCAGAGCATTTGTCTGATATGAAATTTTAATTTAGTTGTATGGTATTGCTACCTGATTTTCTGTGCTTTGGCCTTTTTTTTCCACAATTTCAGATGACCCCCAAGAGCTGGTGGAAATGATGCAAAAGATATTACAAGCAGATGAAATTACAAAAATACAAGTCCTGGGAAAAGGCAAAAGGAAGAGGATTGAAATGATATTCTCAGAGAGTGAAGAAAGCGACCTGGATAAAGAACAGGTGAGTTCCTGCCTTTATGTGCCTTATATTGGCAGGCTTATAATGGGATGGAATAGACCGTAACTATTGATTCTTCTCAGTATAACACACAAATAGGTACAGCAAAGGTAGGAATAAAGGCAGTCTTCATACGGTAGCTCAGCACAATAACCTGTCAGAGTAATTAGTTAGGCCAATAGATTTTGTGCTTCGCTTTTTAAAGAGAAAAGTGTGGTGCTCTGTAGCTCCATTACATTTTTTCTGTAGGACAGAAATCTGACCACTGCAGAAGGAAGGGAAGGGGCCAGGTTTTCTTGAGCTTTGCATTGTGCTGAGATCTGCAGTGACAAAACGTAGGAAAAGAAAACATAAATCTTAACAAAAATTTACAAAGATGTTTTTCAAAAATACTAACCAAGAATGTCAAGTGCACAATGAATAAAAGTTTATGGTATACTAGGAGATATTTGCTCTATCGGAATGCAAAGATACTATTATGCTCTTGTTTACAGGGAAAGATGATGAAGCATATAAAAAAAAAGAAATCATTCCAGGCATCTGCTCCTGCCAACATCCTGAGTCAACTTGAAACATCTTTAATTAACAAACAGGTAAACATCTAATCTTCAGCAATTTTAATGTATTAAACAAAAGCAAATGGAAATATATTTGTTTAGGGAGGCGTAAGACTTTTGTTTCAGTGAAATTAATGGTTCTAAAAGACACTGCCTTAGAAAATTAGTGAATGGAGAACAGAGGGAGAAGTACCTAACAGTTATGTATTACACTGACATTTCATTTTGAATTTTAATAGGAATGGTAATATCTATTTTCAGTAACAGCAATTATTAAAATGCACTGAGGCTGTTTATACATTCTGTGTACAAAGAGAATATTCTGATTTAGCCAGATATTTTAATGTTCGTTTTAATGCTTTAATTTTATTATGTTGTTGCTCTAGATAGCGCATTTTGTTTTTTTTTTTTTCCAGAGAGAAACATATACAGGAAGCAACTTTCTGTACAGTGAAAGTAGCAGTGATGATGAAGAGCCTTTATTTCAACTATCCAAGGTAGAACTGTGTGCCAAAATAAAAAGTCTCAAGAGGAAGCTGACAGACACCATGAGAGAAAACTGCCGCCTAAGGCAGTCCCTGGTGATGCTTCAAGGTAAAGTCAGGGGAAGTATTTGATGAAGAGGAGAGCCTGAAGGTCATGAAAAGCTTGATTTATAAGAGGCCATCTGGATGGGAATTATGGATGCTCAAGCACCTGACACGATCAAGGCCTACCATTAGCACCGAAGTCTTTGATACATGGCAACATTTAATTCCCGCAGCACTCAGAAAAAACTCTTGCACAAGGCCATGCAATCATAGAGGCAGAAATGGAAAAATCCCTCTAAGTCTTGTCAGTTGTTCCCAAGAGAACTTTTCTGAATGCTGTGTATAACCATCAGCTAAGCTTTTGTCCTGGTTTCGTCTTGGAGAGAGTTAGTTTTCTTCTTCGTAGCTAGAATAGTGCTGTGGTTTGGATTTAGTACGGAGTTTGGTATGAGAAGAATGTTGATAACATACTGATGGTTTTAGGTATTGCTAAGACATCAAGGACTTTTCAACTTCCATGTTTTGCCAGCATGCAGGTGCACAACAAGCTGGCAAGGAGCGTGGCCGGAGCAAAGGACCCACAACTCCTAGCTTAGGATTTGAGTTTAGGTTTCTGAATGAGGGCCAAGTTGGCTAATGGTATATTCCATATCATGCAACGTCATGCTCAGTATGCAGAGGAGGGTTGGCCAGGAAGCGCTCTCTTTTTATATCTCTCTTCGGGGCTCTCAGTCTTCCAGGATTGCGGTTTTGGGATTTCCCTGTTTCAAGATCGCTAGCTGGGAAGGGATGGGATGGGAGTTGGTCAGCAAGTGGTGAACAACTGCACTATGCATCACTCGTTCGTATATATTATTATAATTTCAATTATTTTTTTATCATTATTACTTTTAGTTTTGTTTTATTTCAGTTATTAAATTGTTCTTATCTTAACCCACGAGTCTCCTTCCCTTTTCCTCTTTGATTCTGTCCCCCATCCCGCAAGGGCAGGGGAGCATGAGCGAGCAGCTGCGTGGTGTTTGGTTGCCAGCTGCGTTAAACCATGACAGCCCTTTTTAGCACCCCACGTTGGGGTGCCAATGTAAGTGCCATCTTAAGCACTTGCATTAGTCTTCTACAGTATTTTCTAATAATTCAGTGATTCTGTATCTTGCTGATTCTTCATCCCTTGCATCCTTTTCACTCTGCTGAATTGATTCTTCTTAATGGACTCAATAAAAATTTTTGTTTGAAAATAAACATTACTTGGAGAAAGGGCCATTTAAAAGATATTCTCTATAGATTAAAAAGAGGAGAAAAAAGTCTATGCGGTCTATGTAACTTCTTTGAAGAAAAAAATAAACCACCAGACATAACATTGCTTAGCCCATATTCATCAGTTTTACAGACTTGTAGAGATTTTGAGATAGCAAAAAGAAAAAAGAGAAATAGGCTGTTTAGTGCCATGACAGGTGTAAACTAATGATTCCTCTTAGCTTTGCAGAGAACTGATTTATCCTATTCTAAAAACAGATGCTAGATCTTCATGGCTGGGGACAGCAGAAGGGCAGGAAAAGCTTTGAGAGAACAGGAAAAAAGTATGTTAAAGCATCTTTGCTGACTACTTTGACTCTTTAGCAGTACGACAGAAATCTAATTACAAAAATATACACCCTTACATAATTAGAGTCTGAAAGCTTCAGTTACTTCTACTCATCACTTTCTGTTTGATTTCAGTGTTGCCACAGGCAGTCACCCACTTTGAGGAACTGGTAGGGATGGCTGAAGCACTGCTCAAAGGGGGAGTGACATCATCTACATCCAGTCTGCATTCACACGCTGTTTGGAAAGCATCTAACAATCCCTTAGTAGATCCATATGCAGCTATGCATAGTAACTCCAGTTCACCAATAACTTTGCATGTGGATGACGAGGAGCAACAGACTGAAAAACAGGTCAGTTAAAAGGCAATTTCAGGCTTTAAAAAAAAAAAACATGATAAACTTTACTATTATAGTATAACAAATATAAAAAAAAGCGTCAGTAAAACTCATTTTATCATCATTCAGCTGATGACGTGACTAATGAGCTCCTTTTGTGCAGAAGGCTCTTTCCATGAGAAACACTAGACTTACTTCAGTGTGCTGGCACACTCCTACACTCGCTTTGATTTCAGTGGCTTTGCACATCTGTGACTAAGGGCAGAATGAAGATGCACGAAGAAAATACTGAGATCCAGGGATAACTTCTAGTCTAATGTTTTCGATGCTAAAGGGGAACGGTAGTGTTTCAGAGATAATCTAAGAAAAATACCAGCAATCTGTTTAACCTGTTCATGAGTAAGTGGAGAGTGGTACCTTTCTGCTCTCATTCCAGACACTGGCCAGCTGTTAAGCAGAAATACGTGTATATATATATAGATACTGAATAAAGGTGTTCCCTTATTCTCCATAATTATAACAGAACATAATTGAGAAATCTCAGGCAGAGAAGCTGTATATGAAAAATGTAAAGACCCAACAAAAAGAATAATTCCAGCTTCTACATTCACAATGTATATAAGCATTCTTGTGCACTGAGTCATGCCAGTTGGTGCAAATCATTGTGTTGTCATGGGGTCCCCAAAACCAAAGAAATCTATTACAAATTATCAAGGTATGATGTTTTGACTGAATATTACCGTACACAAAATTTGATGTAACATCTCCAAAGAAATAAAAAGAATGGATTTTCTAAGCAGCCTAGCCTTGCTTAATAGAGGTAGCTCAAAATTGCTGTTAGGAGAGTTCACATACTTCAGTTGCACGAGTGCTGGGTGTAGAAGTCACTCTCGAAGCCCAGGACCAGATGTCACAGTTCTTAGGGCGCGTCTGCTCGGAGGCAGGAATATTAGCTTGGGCGTAGTGCCATGCTCCGAGGCTTTGCAGATTCCAGGCCAGAACTGGACCACAGCCAGCCTGCATGGAGTGCAAGCAGAAGGATCTGGATATGTCTGAACATGTCCTGTCTCCACTAGTGAGTAATAAGGATCACTTGGTGAAGCGTTTGCTAGGATGAATAGGGGTCCTTCGTCTGCCCCACACATGCTTCTGAAAAAAAGCAACCTGTGTGTACGGCTTCAAATGTTGAGTGGTATGCAAATTTAGCATTGATCTCAAGCACATAGTTTGCAGACATTACTTTTGAAATTGTGGGTTTTAAAAGAAGAAAATTGTAAAGTACGTATTTCAGAGGTAACACTATATAGTATTTCTAGAGAACTGCAATAGTTATGTCTATGAACTATTTTCTTTTCCAGTTCAAGATTGAAAAGTGGCAGATTGCACTTTGTAACAAGAGCAAACCTCAGAAGTTCATAAATGACTTGATGCAAGCACTTTATACACATGAATACATGGCTACACACAGCTTGACAGGCGCAAAGTCCTCCTCTTCGAAGGATAAAGCGGCGAAGCCAGCTATGAATCAGAATGAAGTTCAGGAGATCATAGGTGATGACTTGTTAAGGTTACTCGGTGTGGCCCTGCCTTGACAGAGGGCTTTCGATGAGGGAAGGGCTGTAATGCTTAACAGCTGGTCTACTCAGGTGGTGGCCTGTTTCCTATTTCCTTCTTCGGCTACGTACTTTTTTAACCCATCTGTTACAAATACTGTCAGTGAAATGCTAAGCAGTAGTATTTCTATTGTGTGAAATTTTTGGGGTTTTATTTAAGTGGCTATTTATGCACAGCGGTATCGTAACTTCTGTTAGCCTTTGAAAGGTTAATCTACAAAGTCAGACTTGGAGCATGATGATAACGGATAAGGGAAGGCAAAGAGAGGACACACTTGGATCAAATTTAAAATTACATCTGCTCCATTCTGAAGTTAGTGAATGTTATGAATTCTGACATTTTAAATAGTGCTGGAGGCAAAATGAGACAATAAGTATAGAAGACAGGAGTAATGATCAGAGAAGCAAACAAAATTTGGTTTATGCTGAGGTTTAAGGCAGAAAATGTTTGGTGCATGGGAAAGAGAATCATTTCAAACGGAAGTAGCAGCTTTAAAGAAAATACTATTTTGTGAGCACATGAAGCCTGATTTTTATTGGATTCACACCTATAACTTAATACCCAAATTCCTGAACTAGAATTCTTGCCCTATTGCCATTCTCTTGGACTTCCCCAGTTCTCTTGGTTCCCTTCCCAACTTAGCTCCAGTTCCTGTCTCTTGGTCCAGTTTAGTTGAACTGGCCAGCGGTTTCAAAAGTTATGAATAGGGTATTGATGATACAGTTGCAGAAACCTCTTTTCCTTGAGAACGTAGCTAGGCAAA